GTGCTTTTATGAGACAGGGTAAAACGATGGCCCTGGAGTGCGTGGGACTGTGTCAGAATGAAGTCAGCATATCTAAGACCCAGCAGTGGCCCTGTCAGTAGCCACCTAGGTGACCTTCATTTCATCACTCTGGACCTCAGTTACTTAATCTGTAAAGTGATCTTACGTTCTACTGAATATATGGCAGATCATGGGAGAGAGAAAAAAATGAAGAGTCAAAAACATTAAAGAAAATATTTTCCTTTGCATATTTTGGCTTTATCTTACCATTTAATGAAGATACATTAGCAGAAAAATACCTTGTCAATGCATTCAAAGCTTAGGAAAAACTCAGAAACTAGGTAATCAGTTGCCATTAAAAAATAGAGAAAAAAACCCTCAAGAATTACGAGGGGGGAAATGTAAATATCAGACCAAATGTTTCACTTCTTAACATATAAAAATCACAAAATACAAAGATAGAAGCCTCTTACGTTTACCTTAAGAAGTACACATCAATGGATGAAACAATCTCCTTCTTGAAGATATTTAAGTGAAATGTACTACTGTTCCCTTTTGGGCAATCTTAGCTTTCCTAAACTAGTGTTTCCGATGAAACTTAAAAATAAAATTGGCCCCATACCTTTTCACAAATTATACATTTTTTCAGGGCTTTGTAAATTTTGTTCAAATTACTTTTCTTTTCCAGTTAAAAACTGCAGCATTTTAACTTTCTTAAAATTATCCAAATGTATGGCTAGATATTCCCCCCCGTTTAGCTAAATTACATGGTATATGTGGCCCTTGGTGAGAAGGACCCTGTTCACCTAGCTCAGCCCCATGTCTTCTGCGCTTTCCATTCTTATGGTATTGAAGTCCTTGTAGTTCCATGATTAAGTCCTGCTCTCTTGTGAAAAACAGTTAACTTTGCAAACAAATTTCCTTCCTCTGCCATCCCCCCTTCTATTCAACGACACACGCGTCCACCAGGTCTCACTGCAGCAGCGTATCCCTCTGCAAAACCTCCCCGATGGCTCCCGCCAAAGCCCCCATCCTGACAGGTCACGTTAGATCCTTTTGATCTTACTCCCCTTGATATTTTGTGCATATCACCATTGAGCTGATTATCTCTTTAAATTCCTATTATTTTTCATTATGTCCGTCTGAAGGCAGGGGCCGTGATTTTCATGTTGCTATCACCCTGGCCCAGAGTAGGCAACCGTTCGCATGGGTTAAATACAAGATATAAATATTGTTCTCAATGGGTAAGGAAAAAAACCCTTACTAAACAATAAAGTAAATTTGGTCTTATATACTTTAATTTGTAGAATTGTTAATCTTACCCCCTAACAACAACAACAACAACAACAACAAAAATCATTGTGGTAGAGCAACCAAAACCAAAGAGGAATCAGTACAAAATTTAAAATTAGAAAAACAAATCATATCCTACGGCACGCCTCCAAAAACACCTTTTCTGGCATCGGAAATGACATAGAATATCATGGAATTAAGAGACGCTTCCAAAGCTCCCCATAGATTATGGTCTTTAACTCAAATACATGGCAATCAAGAGTGTACCCTTCTTTACTTCCCAAGGACACCAAACAAAGAACATGGCACAAGGCAGCTTTTAGCAAGAACCCTCAATAACGATAGATCTTGCAGGATTCAGCAGCAGCAAGACCACAATTGTCATTACCATTAAATCTAGCGTGTCAAATTTCAATCCACTTAATGTCCAAATTAATCAGGTTTAAAACTTCTTCCAGAGTGACATCTAACAACCTAATAACATGCCGTTGTAAGTAAACACATACACCCCAGAAAGTTATCAGTGTACTTCAAATATTCATACAAAGTACAAGTAGGAAAGGTAATTTCACACTGTCCTGTAGAATAACAATAAAGAAAATGCAGCTGAATACAACTAAACTAAAATGCAAAATATCCAGTACTTCTCAGCTATAAATAGAAATAGTTCAATTAGAAACCCCGAGTATGAAGAGAACTCTCCTGGAAGTTAAATGGGAATTAGCAACAAGAGCACTTTCCAAAAGCAGGCCATTTCTCTATGCAATTACTTATTTTCATTTTATAGCTGTCATACTTGTTTACCTATAATGAAACACTGCTCTGCTCTTCTTGTAGTAATCAAAACAATAAAACACAGCTAAAGAAAGAAAATGCATTCCCCAATAGTTAAGAAGCTATTTTGGGGAGAAACAATTAGAAATATTTTCAAGTACTGAATTCCAATGACCTCTAGTCAGTGAACAGGATAAAACTTATAACTACACATAAAATGGAAGGCATATTTAAAAGTTTTGCTTTGATTTGTGGGACAAAGTCTTTATAATTCACAGACATGCATATATTTTAGTAATATTTTGGGATGTCAAGAATGGGTCTTGGTGCCTTTCATTACTTGAAAAATGAAACTTTTGATCATGTTTTAGATCACTTGATTTTTGAAATACCTCATTGGAAATTTTTCCAATGATGAAAACCATTTTTCACTGTAATGAATACTATATGTTTGATATTTCTTGGGAAAAGAAACATAAAACATATCTTGAGTGTACCTTTTAACTATAAATAAATTAAAATTCCATGGCAATTACCACTGCTACAGCAGAAATACTGCCACAGGTTGACACACAGAAACAGGGTCACTTGTTTAGCACAATTCACTTCCATAAATAATTCAACCCAAAGATTGACTTACAGTGTCATGTAATGGTGAGGTACTAACACAAAAACAAAAATAATGAATTCATTCAAAAGAGTGTTTACATAAATTTGAAGAAAAACAAAAGACCACTGGCTAGAGATAACAAAGTTCATTCAGTAACCATGATAAACAAGGGAAATAATAATAGCAGATAGTTTAGAAGAAATCGATGGAATTACAGAAAAATAAGTTACTGTAAAAAAGAAAAGTATTTATGAAAATAAAGACAAAAAATATTCTACACCACAGATGACAAAATTGGGGCTTATGTATTAACCCTTGTCAGCCCCCTAACAGATGTGACTAATCGATCACTGGACTCTGTTGCTAATCCTGGAATCCTTCTCAATACACAGCACAGAGAGCTGCTACCAATCACTGAAGGTTGGCACTGAAACCTATTTGTCAAATCTGCTCTCAGTGACAGTGTTCAAGATATTCCATTAGGAACCTTCCCTGCAGGCAGATAGTGTATGGCTGTGCACAACCTTCTAGGAAATGTGGCCAAGCATGGGTTCACTTTCAAAACTTTGTAAATGCATGAAAATTCTTAAAAAGAAAAATGAAAAAATAACATTACAGCAGATAATGTTATGGTTTGGTGAGTGGAATAAATTTTTAAAAACTAACCACCATCTACGACTTAGAATGGTTTCAAATCTGATAATATAGACACAAAAAATATACAGTCCTCCACTTGCAAGAAAAGCAATCACTACAAAAGCAGCAAGATGCCACAGAAATTAAATAATGTTACTGGTAGCTGGCAAATTAGTGAAACAGTTTCAATAATGTGCATTATGATTTAAAGCCATAGTCTAATGGTTTGAAAAAAATCAGAGAAAAAAATAAATAACTAGAGTAGAGAATCTGATACCCATGGTAGCTTTAACACTTGCGCAATCAAAATTATAGATTTCCTCTAAAAGACAAAACTCTTTGTTACTTTTAACAAAAAGTGTTTTCATCTAATAAAATAATAATGCAAGTTTTGTCCAAAATCAAATACTTTTTAAAGTCTTTAAATGTATCTGTTAAAAAGTAATTTGATCTCTATTTATAGATAGTAAAACACAAATACAATAATAGTTTTAGGTGTCCTAATTTCCAGAAAAATAGTTTCCCTATTGAAATGTTTTTAAATATATGCAATCATTGAACCATATCTGAAACATAAGCCTTAACTTTAGTTTTAAAATAAAACCGAACACTAAGCAAAATTGTGTGTGTGGGGGGGGGGAGGGGGTAAGTATAAAAAAAACCTCACTGAAATAAAATAAATGTATATATCAGGGGAAGGTAACTTTATTCTGCTGTAATTATATATACTATATAATTCCCCAAAAATGTTAAGTCAAAGGCTGCACAGTAAAACACATCAGAGAAAAAGATACCTCAATTACTAAACAAGCTTAGATAAAGTCCAAGACCGTTCAATCTGACAATGAACCTGCTCCAAGCTAAACAGGATCGTGTGCTGTTTCAGACGAGTAAAAACTTCAATCGCCCACTTCATGCTGTTTATACAGGCGTGGCCTTATTTAAGATCTGACATGAATTCTGCAAGAGATCTTAAGTTGTACTAACATTTAGCAATAACGAACATTTCCAGCTACAAGCAAGTATAAGCATAATCCAGAAGGCACTGAGAACAAGTTGCCGGATGTAATGCAATTAGAGAAAGTTCTAAAATTTTCTTTGAAGTATCTAGTATGCTGAAGCATTTTACCCTTGGTCAAATTCACTGTCAGGAATTGTGGTTTTATTATTATGCTTTTCCTTGACTTAATAAGCGATTTCTTTGAAAAATGAGAATAGGTAACACGTGAAACAATCTTACTTGGCTTGAAGGCTGTAGCTGCCTATATGACTAACCTGGGATGTATCTGACCGCTGGGTTACTCATGAGTATAACAAAACAAATTTTAATTAGTAGGTAAGTCGCTGCCTAATTAGGTGTACTCAGCTCAGGTAAGACAGAAAACAAGTGTTCCTGTAAACTAGACAGGGTGGGCAGAAGTAAGTTTACAGTTGTGAGTACATGAAACAGTCCCTTCTTGTATTATTACTTATTGATTATTGTATCATTTTCCATTCAAGCTGTAAACCTACTTTTGCCCACCCCTGTATAAACAACTATAAAATAATGCTTTCATACACAATATGAAGACCAAAAAGAAAATATATAAGTACTGTGAAAGAAACGGATTGCTGTACTGTAGCAAACATATCATTTTCTACCATTTTGTTAATAAAGCTGGAAATGTTTTTAAAATGTTCTCCTTACCTGTGTATACAGTTTTTACTCTCGAGATATGACATACCAGAAGCAGCATCTAATGAAAATTTCACTAATTGTTTCAGTTTTATTTCATCTTTCTTTCTTCTCAGATAGGAGAGGAAATCACCTCCTGGAAGAATTGACAGATGGGCAATGAGACAAGATCATGATGAAAGTCACATTTATCACCCATTACAGATGCCTCACAGAACAGAGAGCTGTACACATGTGGCCATGCTTTCTGTCCATTTTATTTGAGGTGAGGGTAAAAGAAAATATGAAAAGAACACATCTTATTAGAAAACAGACACCATTAACTTTCCCAGGTACAGTTAAGTACTTTAAGTGCTTCACATTGCATATTACCTAGCATGTGATGATATTCAAACAAATTCATACAATTTCTTACCAATTTGCCTGGCTAAAATTTTGTAAGAAATTTATTGTCTCTAATACCAAATAAAAGACTGTTATTATTATGAGTTAAACAAAAAAGTAAATGATATTGAATTAGTTATCAGATTCAGTGATTGCTTAACAAAAATTGAGATTATTAACAATACCAGCACTGAAAGCAGAGCCAGACAGAGGGGAAAAAAAGCTATGATTTTGCTAATAAGATTTAGTTGCTGAGCCAGACTGCATTTTTGTGCATCAAATGGATTCCAGTGATGTAGAGGAACGCCTTAAATCGGTTTCGTCCAAAAGAAATATAATGCAAGCCACCCAGTAATTTTATGTTTACTAATAGTCACATTTTAAAAAGTAACAACAAAAAGGTGAAATAAATTAGTTATTTCAATAACAGATTTTTTCTTTTGCCAATAAATCCAAAATATTATTTACCAACATACTATAAGAATTTCAGTGGAGATATTTTATATTTTATCATCCTGTCTTAAAAATATGTTTAACATTTATGGGACATCAACTTAGATGCAATTTTTCATCTGAGATATTTGATCTGTATTTAGAATTCATAAAATTTACAGTTAAAAAGTAGATCCATACACACAGGTTGTTTCAAACATGCTTAAACTTTTCCAATAACTGAATCATGTGTCCCATCTTTAAAACAATTAAAATTCATAACATTCTAGATTCAGTTTTTTTAAGCAGCACTGTCCACATTTCAAAAGCTGAAGAGCTCGGGAGCTACGCGCGGCCGGCAGTCACTGTATTAAACAGTGCAGCTTTGCCCTGTGCACTCAGTATTAACACAGCACCGAAAGCTACCGTTTACTTTTCTCATGTTAGTGTATAATGTGTTGCATTATAATAAAGAAGTTCATTCTAAGCCAAATATGTCAGACAGAAAAAGCCAAGAACCATGCGGTTTCATTCATATGTAGGATATAAAATCAAAAGCAAGAAATGAACAAGTAAGACGATCAAAGAAAAACTCAGACACAGACGACAGCGTGGTGGTGGAAAGGGGGGTGCGGGGAGGTAGTAAAGGGTAAGGGGGGTCACATATGTGGTGACAGAAGATTTGGCTTTGGGTGTAAAACACACAAAGCAGTATACACATGATGTGTTATATAATTTATACATGAAACAATTTTATTAACCGATGTCACCTTAATAAATTTAATTTTAAAAAAAGGTTGAAGTATATTACAATGAATGTTCTCTAAAAATAATCATTCCCACTTTCTCTTTTCTATTAGGCCTTTAGACTTTAAGCCAGGTTTTTATGAGAGAAATTAGCATTTTAATTGCCATTTCCTAAACTGTTTTATCCTATTCGCCAGGGGTCTGGGCTTCCTAAAACGGAACAACTGTACAGGTAAAGATTTAATGGCCTTTTCTTTAATGCGAGTACCCAGAAAATAAGAACCTGCCTAATTCTCCTTCTAATATTCTTTCTTTGAACCTCTTATTTACAAATCAAGTGCTATACAAATTCAAGTGGGCAATTTACAAAATCAATAAGCCTTATGCTTAAAAATAATTTCAACAGTGTCAGACAGTTTACATTTTTGTTTTTTGTTTTTATTAAAGAGAATATCAAATGTATTAAATTACTGGGAAGATTATTGAAATAGCTTCGATCAAACTGAACTTAATTTCCTGAACAAAACACATAAATGCCACAGTAAACTGCAAAACTAACCATTAACTTCTCACCTTTAATATGTATCAAAATGCCTATTAAAATGGACTTAAAATCAATATTGAGTTCAAGTTATTACTTGGACCAATATTCACACATATACATTAATTCTTTTGTTAGATATATGTTGTCCTATTTTAGAAAAAGTGCACCTTTCTGGTCTTGAAATCTCATACAGCATTTTGTTTACACTGTGGAATAACTTTCAAGTGAAAACATCTTTTCTGGAATTTGATTTGAAGCAGCATATGACAACCCCCATGTTCTGTCAAATCCTAATATTATTTCTTTCGCAAGTTAACTCATATTCAGCACTTTCCCGAGTGCCTCCTGCTCTTTTTAAATTTACTCCTTCCTACAATCCTCCTTGCGCGCCCCAGCCCCTGCCCCGGACTGTCACCCGTGAAGAGTTGGACTATTGTTCAATGTGTAATTTCAGCACCTACCACATGATGTCTAGAATGTAACACCTTAACATTTCTTGAATGAATGTGTAAATAATGTGTATGTATCTCCTTCTCGCAGCTTATAAGCCACCCATAAAGAAATATTTTTCATTAATTTTAACATTTCCTCACTAGCCCCTCTCCAATGGTTAGAACTATGCTTTTTAAGTACTTGTTAAATGTTAATGTTTAGAAAACGATGACATTACATTTCTTATCAATGGCACCTGATGGATGCCATTAAAAGTCTTCACATTCCAACAAGAAAACTTAGTGTATTTAAGACTGAGCTCATCTTGATAGATGCTTGTGTAACACCACTATTGCCTTAGGAATTATATCACTTAAAAAAATAATTTGCAAAGAAGCAATCTTTGGTAGCTTAGACTAAAACAACAAATGCATAATGTATGCATAAACAAAGAAATGACAATATTTAAATAGCATTAAAAATTGGCTGAAAATTGATGCCAAATCAATAAAGGTAAAATACAGCCCAGGCCAGTGTGGCTCAGTTGGTTGAGTGTTGTCCTGTACACCAAAAGGTCACCAGTTCAATTCCCGGTCAAGGCCCATGCCCAGGTTTCGGGTTCAATCCCTGGTCTGGGCGTGTATGGGAGGCAACTGATGTCTGTCTGTCTGCCTGTCTCTCTCTTCCTCTCTCTAAAATCAATAAAAACAAATTTTTTCAAAAATAACAAAAAATAAAATAAAAGCAAAGTATTAGGAAAGAGGAGATAGATATAGCTATTTCTAAATATGTGACACAAAGGTACAGATGAAGGGGAGTCTGATTGTCTCTTAGTTAATCCAACAATTTGCCTTAGATAAATTTCTTGCTTAAAATCATTAAATTATTGAAGTAAAATTTAAATTTATTTCCAATTTATGGATTCGGGCCCTAGGCACAGTGATCTTAAGTAAAGGAGCAGTGCTGCACCATCCCACAGCCCTGGTCAGTTGCTTGCAGGACACTGTAGAGAAGCAAGGCCTCCAGTGAAAATTAAATAACATCATTCAGTACTGAAAGCCTGAGCCTTGGGCAAGTGCAAGCATGAAGAACCCTGAAGCAAGAAATAAACTCCCCAGGGGGCTAGAGTATGGAATTAAAGCTAGAATACCCAGAAAATAACTCACACTGGCTCAGAACTGTTCCTTTAAGCACAATAATTTATTAAGTGAAGAAGCACTGGACACTGGCAGAGCGCCTGACCTGACCCCCGCAGTTAGGAATCTTGGTGTCCCAAAAGGACAAAACAAAATCACTTCCCTTTTGTAACCGTCTTAACAAGGCTTCTTTCTGTATGGACAGACTAAACTAAAATAGGATGGATCCTTTTCTAGCTTTCCTCACCAGTGATGAATTTCTAAGACAACACTTAATATGGTTTTATGGCACTCCAGCTTACTAGGGAGAGCATGGCATGGTGAAAGGAGCGTGGACACAGAAATCCAGCTGACCTAGGAATGATTCACTATGTGGCCTTGGGTAAGTTATTTAATCTTTCTAAATTTCTTTAAAACAAAAATTAATTCCATTTATTTCTCAAGATGGTTTTGAAGACTAAATATAACTAAGGAACTAAGCATGTGCCTAGCACATAATACACACAATAAATACTACTACAACTTGTTGAAGTTATTTTTTATATAAAATGAGGAAGAGCTGTAGTAGGGACTGGTTGTTTGTCAAACATCTATTTTCCCTCATTTGCCTCAATTTCTTTTAGGAGACAGCCCTTCTCGCATTTTGGGAAGTACTAACCTCACCCCGAACAATAAGGGTGGTCCTAGATTGACTTAATCAATGAAGTCCACTCCCCTGTGCAAGTGACTGGTTCAAGGACAGGCACACGACTTCATTCAGGCCACTAAGATACTAGAAGGAGGTACTTAAGAGGTGATAGAATTTTTTTTTTCTTTTTGAGGGAGAGAAGTACCAAGAAAGAGGCATGCTCTGCAACTGAAAGTGAGTAAGACAGCATGCCCTACCACGAAGACTGGCAGCCTTCAAATGAAGCCATCACCACGGAGAGCAGAGACGAGTGAAGAGAATAGTTTTGGGTGACATGCTGGAGCCACTAGATCAAACACTACCTCAAGGACGACTTCCCGCCCGGCTGGGCGTGGCTCAGAGGTTGAGCATCGACCTAGGATCCAGGCGATCGGGGTTCGATTCCCAGTTAGGGCACATGCCCAGGTTGCGGGCTCGATCCCCAGCAGGGGGCGTACAGGAGGCGGCCGATCAATGACTCTCTCATCATTGATGTTTGTGTCTCTCTCTCCCTCTCCTTTCCTCTCTCTGAAACCAATAAAGATATATATATATTTTTAAAATGACTTCCCTCTAGATTTTTCAGTTAAGTAAACTAACAAAATCTCTATAATTTGTATATATCTTCTGTACTAGCAACCTAAAGATCCCTAATAGATAAATAATATGTATATCAAAAGATTACTTGGAGAATTAAAAAGATAACATATATATTAAATGTCTAGACAAGTAGGGAACAATAAAAAGAAGTGCTTTGTTATTGTTTGCAGCCAACTTTTAGTAAGAGGATAGAA